ATATGCCCCTCGCCCAAGGTAAGGAGCAGAGGCTGTGCTTTGCTGGAGCAGGCATGAAGACATACCCCACGTCCAAGGTAAGAGAAACCCAAGTAAGACGGTAGGTGTTGCAAGAGGGCATCAGAGGGCAGATGCACTGAAACCATAATCACAGAACACGAGCCAATCTGATCACAGGACCACAGTCTTGTCTAACTCAATGAAACTCAGCCATGCCGTGTGGGGCCACCCAAGACAGACGGGTCATGGTGGAGAGGTCTGACAGAATGTGGTCCACTGGAGAAGGGAATGGCAAACCACTTTGTATTCTTGCCTTGAGAACCCCATGAAGAGTATGAAAAGGCAAAATGATAGGATACTGAAAGAGGAACTCCCCAGGTTGGTGGTTGCCCAATATAGTACTAGAGATTAATGGAGAAATAACTCAAGGAAGAGAGAAGGGATGGATCCAAAGCAAAAACAATACCCAGTTGTGGATGTGACTGGTGATAGAAGCAACATCCAATGCTGTAAAGAGCAATATTGCATAAGAACTTGGAATGTTCAGTCCATGAATCAAGGCAAATTGGAAGTGGTCAAACAGGAGATGGTAAGAGTGAATGTCGACATTCTAGGAATCAGCGTACTAAAATGAACTGGAATGGGTGAATTTAACTCAGATAATCATTACATCTACTACTGTGGGCAGGAATCCCTTAGAAGAAGTGGAGTAGCCATCATGGTCAACAAAAGAGTCTGAAATGCAGTACTTGGATGAGGTCTCAAAAACGACAAAATGATCTCTGTTCATTTCCAAGGCAAAGCATTCAATATCATGGTAATCCAAGCCTATGCCCCAACCAGTAATGTTGAAGAAGCTGAAGTTAAATGGTTCTATGAAGACCTACAAGACCTTTTATAGCTAACACCCAAAAAGGATGTCCTTTTCATTATAGGGGACGAGAATGCAAAGGTAGGAAGTCAAAAACACCTGGACTAACAGGCAAACTTGGCCTTGGAGTATGAATGAAGCAGGGCAAAGGCTAATAGAATTTTGCCAAGAGAACACACTGGTCATAGCAAACACCCTCTTCTAACAACACAAGAGACAACTCTACACATGGACATCACCAGATGGTCAACACTGAAATCAGATTGATTATATTCTTTGCAGCCAAAGATGGAGAAGCTCTACACAGTCAGCAAAAACAAACCCGGGAGCTGACTGTGGCTCAGATCATGAACTCCTTATTGCCAAATTCAGACTTAAATTGAAGAAAGTAGGGAAAACCACTAGACCATCCAGGTATGACCTAAATCAAATCCCTTATGATTATACAGTGGAAGTGAGAAATAGATTTGATAGACAGATTGCCTGATGAACTATGGACGGAGGTTCATGACATTGTACAGGAGGACGGGGATTAAACCATCCCCATGGAAAAGAAATGCAAAAAAGCATAATGGCTGTCTGAGGAGGCCTTACAAATAGCTGTGAAAAGAAGAGAAGCTAAAAGCAAAGGAGAAAAGGAAAGATATTCCCATTTGAATGCAGAGTTCCAAAAAATAGCAAGGAAACCATCTTCAGCGATCAATGCAGAGAAATAGAGGAAAACAACAGAATAGGAAAGACTAGAGATCTCTTCAAGAAAATTAGAGATATTAAGGGAACATTTCATGCAAAGATGGGTCAATAAAGGACAGAAATGGTATGGACCTAACAGAAGCAGGGATATTAAGAAGAGGTGGCAAGAATTCACAGAAGAACTGTACAAAAAAGATCTTCACGACCCAGATAATCATGATGGTGTAATCACTCACCTAGAGCCAGACATCCTGGAATGTGAAGTCAGGTGGGCCTTAGAAAGCATCACTATGAACAAAGCTAGTGGAGGTGATGGAATTCCAGTTGAGCTATTTCAAATCCTGAAAGATGATGCTGTGAAAGTGCTGCACTCAATATGCCAGCAAATTTGGAAAACTCAGCAGTGGCCACAGGACTGGAAAAGCTCAGTTTTCATTCCAATTCCAAAGAAAGGTAATCCCAAAGAATGCTCAAACTACCTCACAATTGCACTCATCTCACACACTAGTAAAGTAATGCTCAAAATTCTCCAAGCCAGGCTTCAGCAATACGTGAACTGTGAACTTCCAGATGTTCAATCTGGTTTTAGAAAAGGCAGAGGAACCAGAGATCAAATTGCCAACATCCGCTGGATCATCGAAAAAGCAACAGAGTTCCAGAAAAACATCTATTTCTGCTTTATTGACTATGTCAAAGCCTTTGTCTGTGTGGATCACAATAAACTGTGGAAAATTGTGAAAGTGATGAGAATACCAGACCACCTGATCTGCCTCTTGAGAAATCTGTATGCAGGTCAGGAAGCAACAGTTAGAACTGGACATAAAACAACAGACTGGTTCCAGATAGGAAAAGGAGTACGTCAAGGCTGTATATTGTCACCCTGCTTATTTAACTTATATGCAGAGTACATCATGAGAAACGCTGGGCTAGAAGAAGCACAAGCTAGAATCAAGGTTGCCAGTAGAAATATCAATAACCTCAGGTACACAGACGACACCACCCTTACGACCAAAAGTGAAGAAGAACTAAAGAGCTTCCTGACGAAAGTGAAAGAGGAGAGTGAAAAAGGTGGCTTAAAGCTCAACATTCAGAAAACTAAGATCATGGCATCTGGTCCCACCACTTCATGGCAAATAGATGGGGAAACAGCAGAAACAGTATCAGACTTTATTTTTGGGGGCTCCAAAATCACTGCAGGTGTTGACTGCAGCCATGAAATTAAAAGAGGCTTCCTCCTTGGAAGGAAAGTTATGACCAACCTAGATAGCATATTAAAAAGCAGAGACATTATTTTGTCAACAAAGGTCCATCTAGTCAAGGTTATGGTTTTTCCAATGGTCATGTATGGAGGTGAGAGTTGGACTGTGATGAAAGCTGAGCACTGAAGATTTGAACTGTTGTGTTGGAGAAGACTCTTAAGAGTCCCTTGAACTACAAGGAGATCCAACCAGTCCATCCTAAAGATCAGTCCTGGGTGTTCATTGGTAGGACTGGTGCTGAAGCTGAAACTCCAATATTTTGGCCACTTGCTGTGAAGAGCTGACTCATTGGAAAAGACCCTGATGCTGGGAGGCATTGGCGGCAGGAGAAGAAGGGGACGACAGAGGATGAGATGGCTGGATGGCATCACCGACTCAATGGACATGAGTTTGAGTAAACTCCGGGAGTTGGTGATGGACAGGGAGGCCTGGCGTGCTGTGATTCATGGGGTCACACAGTGTCAGACATGACTGAGCGACCGAACTGAACTGAATTCAATCCATGAGCCTCCTCTTGTATGACCACCACATTCCCCAACAGAGGCAGGCCCTGCAACCAAAGTGCTACCATGAAAATCGCTTTCCCTCCCAGCCACTGTTGAGTGTACTGGGAGCAGGGGGAACGGCTGAGAACCAGGCTGACTGGAGTCTTCCTCCCTAGACCTCAGCATTGAGATTCAGCACCAGCAGCCAGTCTCGGCTGGTCTTGCTAACTGACAGTTAATGCAACTTCCCACTGATCTTATGTGGTCACTACTAACTTTGGTCTGTCCACAGACCACTCCTGCCTTTCTGTGTGTGCATGTGCATGAAAGAGTGCATGTGTCTATGTGTGAACATCATCTCTGAAGTCTGTCTCCATCCTCTCGGGCTCAGGGATCATCATGTGATCCGGGCCTGGCCAATCAGAGGAGGATCTCTCCTAGACTTCAGGGACTAGTTCGGGCTTGAGCACGTGGCACAGGCTACTGGAGAAGAGCCAAACAGGAATGAGATAAATCAAGCAGATTTTTTTTTAAGAAACAAAATGAAGCAAGAGAATGTATAGTTTTCAAGAATAAAGGAGGACAGAATAACTGTCTGGGTATCTGAGGACTTCCTTTCGTGCCAAATCCAGTGAGTTAGTCTGCCCTCTTAAAGGATTTGTTCATCCATTTGAAAAATCACTCACTATACACTCTATATATATGGCCCAGTAGCGTGAATCCCAGAAATAAACGCATGCATGTGTGTGTACACACCTCTGTGCCGCAGAACCACACAAAAGCAGCCGTGAAAGTGTTGCCCTGGGAGTCTGCCTGGGTTCTTCAGAACTTGAGTTACACCAATCCCCTCTGCAAAGACATCCTTGTTCTTTCATTTCCACCCCAATAAGCTCACAATCGGTGAGAACCATGGGACCCAACACCCATAAAGACAAGCTAATGAACACTTTAGCAAAAAGATTTGTGACCAAAAGAAGAAGTCTATAAAAAGAAAGGATCTGCCCAGTGGATGTCAACCATCCAGAATCTCAGGTTGACATCCGCCGGGTGGATTCTTTCTTTTTGAAGTAAGCCAGAAAGATAAACACCAATACAGTATACTAACACATATATATGGAATTTAGAAAGATGGTAACAATAACCTTATATGCAAGACAGAAAAAGAGACACAGATGTATAGAACAGACTTTTGGACTCTATAGGAGAAGGCGAGGGTGGGATGATCTGAGAGAACAGCATCGAAACATGTATACTATCAAGTGTGAAACAGATCGCCAGTCCAGGTTGGATGCATGAGACAAGTGCTCGGGGCTGGTGCACTGGGATGACCTAGAGGGATGGGATGGGGAGGGAGGTGGAGGGGGGGTTCAGGATGGGGAACACATGTAAATCCATGGCTGATTCATGTCAGTGTATGGCAAAAACCACTACAATATTGTAAAGTAATTAGCCTCCAACTAATAAAAATAAATGGAAAAAAAAACTTAAAAAAAAAAGGATCTGGCCTTCCTGGTTAAAAAAACAAAAACCGAAAAACCCTACCCGTGGTTAAGGAAAACAGAGAGCAGACAGGGAAGAAAGGGTCCAGATAACCAGAAACCTTCTCTCTAGGAAACAGGGGTGAGGAGGGAGCAGCCTGGCCGAGGGCATCGTGTTTAAATAACACATTAACTATTAGCTCAACTTCCTTACCTCCAAAGCGAGCTCTCCGTGATGCTCCCCAGGTTATAGTCATACAGCTTTGTCAAAATGAGAATCACCTGAAGGCAAAAGAAGACATCAAGGTTAGTTTCAAACAATTACAGTTTCATAGAACTGAAATGGCCCAAGGGAGGGCTTAGAATTCCTTTAACGGTCGCTTAACATAATTGAATGAATTATTGCAGCATCGACTTACACTGATTGGGGAAGGGTTTACCAGGGCCTGGGCTTCCCTTGCGGCTCAGCTGGTAAAGAATCCAGGATCCGCCTGCAATGGGGGAGACCTGGGTTCGATCCCTGAGCTGGGAAGATCCCCTGGAGAAGGGAAAGGCTACCCACTCCAGTATTCTGGCCTAGAGAATTCCATGGACTGTATAGTCTATGGAGTTGCAAAGAGTCAGACACAACTGAGTGACTTTCACTTCACTTGCCAGTGCCTTCCCTTAAACAGCTAAAACTGGACCCCGGGTCCTAGAGCTTAGAGAATTTAGGGAGCTCTTTATAAGAAACAAAATACAAAGTCATGAGTTCCAATCTGCCCATCCTGGGAAAGGGCCTATGCAATTAACACTGAAACTTAAGCTTCATTTGCTTCTCGGCAAATCTTCCTATAATTTTAACTTGTTGCTTTTCTTCAACCTCACTCAGAGGAACTCAAACTATTTAGCTCATTCTTTCAGAATTCAACACCTATGAAGCATTTACTAGGAGCCCAGAATTTTGCCTGACGCCAGAAAAGAACATAAATACAGATAAGGCCTGGTGGCCTAGGACCCACCAGAACTCATGCCCATCATGGCAGCATCAGAAAGCGGCTGCCTTTCTTGCCTGCAGCCCTGACCTAGCTCCGCCTGGTTAAGTGAAGCATAGGAGTGCCATGACACTGGGGAAGATTCAACAGAGCAGTGTGTTTCTAACCATGGATGGTCTCAGCCCTTATTTGCTCTCCTTACATAATGAAAAGAGCCTAATAGCTTTGCCTTATTTTCTGTTAAGGTTCGTATTTCTCTCTTGATAGTCATAACTTAGAACATTCGGCCCAGTCCTGCTGTTTCCAACTCAGCATAAAAATGTTGACTTTGATTTTTTGGATTTCTTCTGAAGGCCAAAGGATCAGTTGCAGCCACAGTGAGCACAGAATGATCTAACCTTGAATTCCAAGCCAGCAAGCTGCCAAGGAGCTGCTGAATCCTTCATGGTTCTACTCTGCTAGCACAAGGCTTGCTTTACTGAAGATAAAGGTGCCGGCGAGTGAATTCTGATCACTTCTTTCACAGCAAGAGAACTGGAACTCCATGCCTTAGGTTTGTTACAACTTCAAGGGGATGAAGGACCACAGTCACCCCAAAACAGGCACAAATCTGAGGACCTGAGCTCTAAGGCCATCCCTCTCTTTAACCACTGCACAGACTTCCTTCAAAGATCTGTTCAAAACTGACTTTCTTAGCAAAACGTGAGCATGTGCGAGGCGCTGGGTGCCCTATGGGCATGTCAGATGGCAGGCCTGCGGTGGGGGCATATGGTTAACAGATCCGTGTGCCAATTAAGTTGCTCTAAGTGCTAAATTTCAATCACCGCCATCCCAGGAATGCTGATCAGTGACAGCGGGGTGGCTGTTTGTTTGAAGACACAGAGAGATGTCGTTGCTCTACCTCGGTATGATTTTGCCAAACAGACCTATAAATCCCCCACCAAGAAAATGGGGGTGTGGGCATAAAGCGTTTCTCGGTAGTTGCTCTCTTGATACAAGATGGCAGTAAACTAAATAATGAAGTTCAGCCAGCCACAAACTGCATTTCCCATCCATCTGATGAGGAAAGCCACTGGAGCCCAGAGAAGGAACCTTTTTAACCCAGCATGTAACAGTGTGGAGCCGCTCACACGCGCACGCATAAGTTGTTTAAGCAATTCACAGGCAGGCGGGCAGGTAGGTAAAAATCCACTCCCTGATTCTTCTTGCTGGGCTAGTAAAATGAAAATGCCAGTGATACACTCAGGCAGCTTGTCAATACTGCACCAGATGAGGCATTCTTTATGGCATTTCAAAACATATCTGCTTGAATCAATCTAATCTTTCATTTTCAGAATGAAAGCAAGAAAGAAGGGAGAACTGCTAACCTTTAGTTATGTTTTCAATCGATTATTTGAAATCTCTTTTCCCCTCTATTTTTCCCCTTTTCTATCTATGTGCATTATTCACCACCTTACTCCTGGATGGTGATATGTCATTATATAAGATTGATTTGTTGTTGTTTGTTTTCCTGTTCTGGTTAATTACCAATACTGCTTTATAGAATTAGCAGCTGTTAAAGGGCCATAGCCAAAACTACAACCATTAGATGAGTAAAAGAGGTTAACACAATCGTCCATCTATTCTGGTTGATTGTCTATCATTTCTGTGTATTTTTCAAACAAAACAAAAAACACTGAAACCTACTAATCAAGTAAAACATATGTACTTAAAAAAAAATATATATATATATAAGGTCATTTCCTTTTATTCATTAGGTAAATGATTTTAATGTAAAGATTTAATTCCAAGTTCTAGTGTATAGCATTTAAGTATAAATTCCAGTCAATGAGATCAAGGCTGATTTGATAAATATTGGGTTTGACCAAAAAGTTTGGGTTTTTCCTGTAATATCACACAAAATGGAATATCTATGAGTAGCTAGTTTCCACCCCTGCCCCCTGCAGGATCTTGTTCTTATGATACAGTACCAAAACAGCCCTGATTCAAAGCAATAAGTGGTGACCATATGGTAATATCTTTTTTAGGTTCCTCTTTAAATCTTAGAATACTTTCTTTAATAGCTTGATCTAAGTATCTATGGCCAGACAGCCTATACCTACACTGCCTCAGGACCTCAGTGCTCAGTTGCTTCCGGGACTTTGCAGAGTGGCCTGTCCAGGGATTACAGCCTAGGAGCTGCTGGCACCACAGTCATCTGGGCTCTTCTTTTGCTGAGGCTCCTTCCTGCTCTATCCATTACTGATAAAACTCCTAGTTGGGGGAAGGTGGAACTTCATTTTCTCCATACTTATAAAGAGGATGCTGAAGCATTCACCAAGCTGCTGTTTTCAAAGCACTCATTCCCTGGAGAATGAGAAAGCACTAGAAACTCTGCCAGGCTCTGGGCAGGGATAATTGGGGGTCTTCAAGGGGGTGGAGCCTTTTCTGTGGCTTCCTCCCCAACACTGAGCCAAATGTGCAAGTCCGTTACACAAAATGGCAGCGTATTCGCACATAACCTAAGAACACTCTCTCATATACTTTAAATCATCTCTAGATTATATTATGTCTAATACAATGTAAATGCTATGTAAATAGTCATGATCATGTTGCAAATTCAGTGAAGGTGAAAGCTGCTCAGTCATGTCTGACTCTTTGTGACCCCATGGCCTATACAGTCAATGGAACTCTCTAGGCCAGAATACTAGAGTGGGTAGCCTATCCCTTCTCCAGTGGATCTTCCCAACCCAGGAATCGAACTGGGGTCTCCTGCATTGCAGGCAGATTCTTTACCAACTGAGCTATCAGGGAAGCCCTGCTTTTTAAAATTCTGGATTTTTCTCCCAATGTTTTTGATCAGAGGATGACTGAATTCAGGGATGATGAACCTGTGGATACGGAGGGAAGTCTACACATGGATGACTAACAGTCATTTTAGTGTAAAATATAAAAAGTCAGTATCAGAATGGCAGAGCAAGCCTTGTGTCCTGGCCTGGATTAGAGTGAATTAACATGGCAAGCTGCAGACTGAGCTAACACACGAGAAGTTTCCATTATGCTAAGTATTTAGATAGGTGACACATTCAAATGTGACAGCAAGTTATTTTACTTTTTTCCTTTTAACATAAAAATATAATTTAGAAATGAAACCCCAAACATTTAAGGAATCCCTAAAACACCTTCCTAGATACCTGATTCAACATTTAAAAATGCCTATCAATTGATTACTAGACTGAAATAGACCAACATTTACTCTATACTTCCTAACTAGTAGCATACGAATTCTCCATTTATTTTCCTAAAGAAAGAACATAGTGTTTGACTCTTAGCTAACTTAAAGCAAGCACCCCAGAGGAAGGAGGATGGAAGGTGGGGAGGGGGTCAATGTGGTTTCCATTCCTTCACCTCCTATGAAGGAAAGTGCACATTCCCCCAGAGAAGTGGCCTCTCCTAATTATTTTGCTTATGAGTAGCAACCCAGTTGGTAGCAGCAGTGGACTAAGAAGCTTTCCTGAAGGCGTTTAGTAAGCTTTCTATTCTCTTAAACTATGAATTTAGGGTAGCTCTTAGGCTTCCCAGGGGGCACTAATGGTAAAGAACCTGCCTGCCAATGCAGGAGACCCAGGTTCGATCCCTGGGTCAGGAATATGCCCTGGAGAAGGGCATGGCAACCCACCTCAGTATTTTTACTTGGAGAATCCCATGGACAGAGGAGTCTGGTGGGCTACAGTTCATGGCGTCGCAAGAGTCAGACACGACTGAAGTGACAGCATGCATGCATGCTGTGAGAACCAGTGGACACTTAGGGAGTCCCACTAGGACACCTGGCCTGGCCACTGACCTTCACCGCATCTCTCCCTCATCTCAGGGAAATCTTAGAATTTCTAAGTAAGTCAGGTCTCCTCATTTTTCAGTTATGAGTGATTTTTTAATCTTTTTTTTCCCCCCTTGCTCTGTGTCTAACTGTGGAGGTGGAATCTAATCATAAGGGAAACACAAAACTGTGCCCTGGGCTTCTTGAAAGTGAGCGCTGAGAATACAGGATCCTAACGTCTTTTCATTCCTGAAGGCCTATAGTTCCAACTCCTGAATAATGAAGAGCGTAACAGGGGTCCTAGCCTATGAAACAAGACATTTTCTTGTGTAATGTTCTCAGTCATTAGTGATTCAGGGTTCTGCCCTTGTAAAGCACGAGGAGACTCCATAAGAACTCAGTCCTGTCAGAGCTCATCACCCTGCTCTCCTGAAGGAAGCTTCATTCACTTCTGAGTGAGCACTGGCAAAACCACTTGGGCGATGTTGGCAGGCTGGTTCAGGGGCTGAAGC